ATTGTGGCATCAATAGAGTAAAAGTGTTATGAGTTATTGAGCGTATCTTGATTTATGGCTTCGAGCCAAGTGGGGGAGTCTGCTGTGAGCAGTTGATTGCACGGTTAGGTGCTATGTTGGTTCCAGTTTGGGGCTTGCGAGTGAATTAGCTATGGCTAGTGTAAAGGAAAATTTTGACAAGGATTATATTATGCTTCATGGGGTATGAGGATTTACGGAATGTCTAGAGTTGTTGTTGGTAAAGAATGCTCGGTGTATAGAGCAGGAAGTTGCTTGGTTGTATTGGGAATGGATATGTGGAGACGGAAGTTCTCATATACAGGCTATGATGTGGTTGTAGATCGTGCGTATCGGCATTGTTTAGCAACTGCCGAGATTTAGAGGCCGAGTGGATCTTTCTTTGCTTGGTATGTTAGATTTTGGGTATAATATCGGGGTGTAGACTGGTTGTCTCAGTGTTGGGTTATTCTGGACTATTGCGCTATGGGCTATGGCGGAAACGCCACGGGCTGGGTGGCGAGGTGCGTCGGATTATGTTCTAGCAGGGTGGTTTATATTTCAAAGACCCAGCGGATGGCTGGGAAGAATTGCCTTTCTTGATTGGGCCTTCGTGATGGATGTCAGTGCAGAGGTTTCTACCATTGATTCAGTTCCGGTGTTGAGGCACTTTTCGGATGCGTTTCTTGTGGCCGGGCATGTCGCCGGGCGAGGTTGTGGATTTCGTTATTGATTTGATGCCGGGCACCGTATCGTATGGCTCCGGTAGGAGCTGTAGTAGTGGAAGGAGCAGTTTCGGGCTTCCTTGATGATGAGTTCGTTGGCAGGTCAATATGGAAGCGTGTTCAAGCTTGAGTCGGCTTGGTTGGCCCCGAATTGTATTGTTGAGGGATAGGTTGATTCGATCGTTATTGAGCTTGTTAGTGATCTGGGGAGATCTATGAGTTGCTTATCTGTGTTGTGAGACGCTACGATTTGTTGGTTATGGGCACATGTGGTGCGGTTCTATTGGGAATTCATAATGGAAGTCGAGCGGGAAGAGTAATTGGGTGCTGCTCGGTGAATGGAGTATCGGTTATGACCTATCGGGTTGCGTGGTATATGTTTTCTGTCTCACCGTGGGTGTAATGATTTGCTTTGGTTCCAGACATCAATTGAGCATGGTTGTCGATTTCGAGCATAGTGACTTGAGGTGTTTCAGGTGGAGCAGTATTTGGATGGGATCGCGCGTTGCAGCTGCTGTGAATAGAAGTTACCGTTTCGAGTGTTTGAGTTATGTGGTATATCATATGATTGCACCTGAGGTTACAGGTATGGGTTATTACAACTGGTTCGGGCTTATTCTGAATATAGATGTGAAGTTCTGATCTAGTATATGATTTCGGAAAGTGCAATGTGGTTCTATGATTTATGGGCTAGGCTGGATTGTGTGATTTTAGTTAAAATGTGTTATCGAACCTATATGAGATAGTGACGTGGGATCAACCCCGGGTATATGCATGGTAAGGTTATTCAGCGAGTGGTTGGCTTTGGAACAACTCCGGGTACGTTCGAGGACGAACGTGTGTTTAAGTGGGGGAGGATGTAACGACCCGACCGGTCGTTTTGAGCTTTTGCACTTTGATCGCCAGTTCTCGGGCATGACTTGCCCCGTGTTATGTATTATGACTAATTTAGATCGTTCGTTTTGGTTTTCAGGGGAATTTGGAATGAATTTGAAAGAACAGTTTCAGTTGAAAGCTTTGAATTTGAAAGGTTTGACCAAGAGTTGACTTATTGTATATGAGCTTGGATCGGAGTTTTTATGATTTGGTTAGCTTCGTTGGGCGATTTGTGACTTACGAGCGTGATCGGAATTGGTTTTAGAAGTCTGGTGTAGAATTAGGCTTGAATTGGCGAAGTTAGTATTTGGCGAATTCCGGTTGATAGGTGAGATTTTGATCCGAGAGTCGGAATGGAATTTCGAAGTTGCTGTAGCTTCGTTATGTCATTTGTGATGTGTGTGCAAAATTTCAGGTCATTCGGACGTCGTTTGGTTGGGTTTTTGATCGAAAGTGTATTCGGAAGGATTTTGGAAACTTAGGCTTGAATTCGACGAGTTTTGAGTAAATTGATGTTGTTTGAGGTGTTTTGATGATTGGAACAAGTTTGGATGATGTTTTAGGATGTGTTGGTACTTTTGGTTGAGGTCCCGGGGGCCTCGGGGTGATTTCGGATGGCTATCGGGATGAATATTGGACTTGTGTTATTGCTGAGATTGCTGGTTCTGGTATTTCCGCATCTGCGGAATTGGGACCGCAGATGCGATCTCGCAGATGCGGGAAGGAGGTCGCAGATGCGGATTTTGGCATATGGGAATTTTTGCAGAAGCGGATGGTTTTCCGCAGGAGCGGAGTCTACAGATGCGGATATTGACTGCAGAAGCGGTCCTGGGCATTTAATGAAACTCCGCAGAAGCGGAAAGTGCACCGTAGATGCAGTAATGTGCTGGGCAGAAGGGTTTTAAATTCCATTTTGTTCCGCGAGCTAAGTTATTTTTCCACCATTTTTGAGCATCTTTGAGAGCTTTTGGACGGGAATTGAAGAGGGTTTCGACTAGGATTGATTGGAGGTGAGTTCTATGACCTAAAAACATGATTTAATTGTAGAATCAACCTAGAAATTCATGGAACTTAAGCAAAAATGGAAGAAACTAGGGCTTGAGATTTTGAAATTTGATTTGCGGATTTGAGGGACCATTTGAGGTCGGATTTGAGTACTTTTGGTATGTATGAACTCGTGAGGAGATGAGGAACCTATTGATGTGAAAAATTTCGAGTTTCGAGAAGTGGGCCCGGGGCTCGGGTTTTGCTAATTTCGAGATTTTTAATGATTGTTTTCGATTGGGTATTGTTCCATTGGCATATTGTGACGTATTTGTTCTGGTTTTGGATAGATTCGACGAGCGTGGAGGCCGATTTGAGGGGCGAAGGCGTCGCGAGCTAGAGATTTCGCCGGTTCGAGGTGAGTAATGATTGTAAATGATATCCTGAGGGTTTGAAACCCCGGATTGCACACCGTAGTGCTATATTGAGGTGACTTGCACGCCGGATAGCGAGCGTGGGGTAGAGCACCGTTGAGGGATTGTGACTTGGTCCGTCCTGATTGATGATTTTACCGCGTATTTGACTGAAACTTATTTGTTATTATCATGATTAGGGCTGATCGCCATATTTGGGCTTCGTGCCAATTATCTGAACCCTTCGGGGATTTTTATCACTGTTTCCTCACTATTTTGATATACTACTTGAACTCAGTCCTGTTGATTATACTGTTTTACAAACTCAGCCGCTTTAATTGAACTTTGAGACTTAAATGATATTTCCACTGTTGTTTGAGCTGAGCACTACTATTTTATTGATGCCTGAGGGGCTTATGATGTTTTTTGGACTGAGTGAGGTCGAGGGCCATATGTGAGGAGGCTTTCAGGCCTCGAGTGTGATGTGAGGAGGCTTTCAGGCCTCGCGTGTGATGTGAGGAGGCTTTCAGGCCTCGAGTGTGATGTGAGGAGGCTTTCAGGCCTCGAGTGTGATGTGAGGAGGCTTTCAGGGCTTATGAGTGATGTGAGAAGGCTTTCAGGCCTTATGTTATATGCCACGAGGTGGCTTGATATTGCGCTTGGGCCGTAAGGGGCCCCTCCCGGAGTCTGCACACCCCCAGTGAGCGCCGTCGACGATATATGGATCGGGTTGTACGCCGCAGCGAGATGTGTATCGGGCTGCACGCCGCAGCGGTTACTATATGATACTGTTCTAAGAGTGATCTGAGAGAGAGAGTCCGAGGGGCCGAGAGTGTTTCTGAGAGTGAGCCCGAGGGGCTGGTACTGTTTTGAGATATTGCCCGAGGGGCGAACTTTTATGTGTTCATCTTGCATATTTACTTGCCTTTTTACCTGTTATACTACGGTATTTGTGCCCGAGGGGCGGATTTTTCTGTGCTTATCAGCACTAACTGTTTTGAAATCGTTTCGTAACTGTTGAAAAGATCATTTTCAAAAGATATTTAAACTGAGCCAATATATTTCTAAAGATTTCATAGCTTCACTGTTTTCTCAAAGGATTATACCCTACTTCTATACAGCATGTTGGTTGCTTTACGTGATTTCTTACTGCTCAGTTGTTATTTTCCTTTATTATTCACTGAGTTGGAGTACTCACTTTACTCCCTGCACCTCGTGTGTAGTTGCAGGTATTTATTCACCCGGTAGCGGGTATTGGCTGTGTGGAGGCAGAGCTATAGTAGTTCAGCGAGGTGACTGCCAGCGTTCGCAACACCATTTTTTTTCTATGTTATTCATTATTCCTGTTCAGTGTACTTCTAGACTTGTAAATGTAATTACATTCTTATAGATGCTCGTGACTTGTGACACCTCGGTTTGGGCTGTGTCGGGATGGTTCTACTGTTATTATCTATGATTCCGCAAATTATTGTTATTAAATCATGCTTCATTATTGCTTAATGGTGATTTACTGCTTAAAAGAGGTGTTCTGTATTGGTCTGGCTGGCCTTGTCTTCACGAGAGGCGCCATCACGACCAGGTTTGGGAATTGGGTCGTGACACTATTATTATTATAGGTAAAATTTAAAAAATAAATAAATACATATATATAAAGACATACATACTTCATTTATTTCTTAAAGGGAGTGCAAAATTAAAAGTGGACAACTAAAAATGAACGGAGTGAGTACATGTTAACGATACAATTTGGCCTTAGAGGGCGCCATAATCTTTGGGACATGGAAGGCATTAATGCGAACAACTTTTAATTTGTTTTGGTCAACTGCCAAGCGCTTACCAAAGTTTTATTATATACAAGGCATGTATTATAGAAAATGGTAACAACCTAACCAGAGTACATAAAATATCAAACAATATGTTCACGTGCCAACATTAATTAAAGGCATAAGGCTTAATTACTGCTCTAATGACTAATATCATGTATTTTGTTATGTAGCATGTTACATATAGTCAACCATAAAGAAACTCAGTACATCAGCAAAAATGAAGAAACTAGTCCTTCTAATTTTGAACATAGTTATGTTTGCAATTGGCAACTGCGGTGGCCCTTTGATCCTTCGTGATCTACTACATCAATGGCGGTCAAAGACTTTGGCTTTCTAGTTGGTTGCAAACTGTTGCCTGTCCCATTATTCTCATTCCGCTAGCCATTTCCTATTTTCATAACGCCGAAAACTTGAGGGACCGGACGCTAAAATTTTCTTTATATCTCGTCAAGAACTCGTCAGAGCTGCCGGCGTCAGAATCATCGCCGGTCTTGATGGTTATTTAATCTCTTGGGGCCCCGCAAAACTACCCGTTTCAACTTCGACTCTTATTTTCGCGACCCAACTTGCGTTCCTACACTCTTTTCTGTACTTATAGTTAAGCAGAAATTGACGGCGTATTCAACCTTTGCTGTTGTTTTGTTAATCGCCGGAGCTGCATCTCTGGCTCTCCGACCGAACGGCGACCAGCCGGCGGGTGAGTCAGATGTGGATTATGTGTTGGGGTTTGTAATGACGCTTTTAGGTGCGGTTTGTTTTGGGTTGATGTTGCCGCTTATTGAGTTGATTTATATGAAGGCAAAACAAGCGATTACTTATACTACTGAGTTGGAGATTCAGATGATTATTGCTATTCCCGCTACTGCTTTTTGCACCGTTGGAATGATAATTAATAAGGATTTTCAGGTACGTATCATTTTCTTGTTTAATACTTCTCGAATTCAACTTTAAAAGTCCGTTTGGATTAGCTGATTTAAAATAGTTGATAAGTATTAGGTGTCGAACAATATTTTTAAATGCTGAAACTGATTTAATAAATAAGCAGTTACGTGTTCGGTTGCATAAGTTGCTGCAGTGTTTGAAAAAAAAATGCTGATAAGCCCTTTTTCTGTTAAAATGACTTAAATAACCTTAAAACTGTTTAAGGACGTAATTACTACAAGATTTTAGATTTTAGATCGATTCAAATACATAATAATCTATCTGTCATTGTATTTTAAAAACAAACGTGATTAGATAAGATAATTTTATGATAAATATAATTTATTTTATGATAAGCATATAATCATAAGGTGTATAATAATTATTTATATCTTGTCTTCATCACCAATATCCATTGATATTAATACAACACTTAAAAAGCAATACACCAAAATTTTGATATGTTCCCGTTTAATACTTACGGTTCAAAGATTAATGCACAATCACATAAATACAAAATATGCAAAGGAAAGAGAATTTGCTTACCTCAAATATTGTCAACGAGAATTGCAGACTTGAAGAGGTTGAGGGTTTAGGTTTGAAGAAATATGAGGCAGTGAATAACGATATATAATTTTTGTTTTAAAAAGGAATATTTTAGGGATACAACCCCGAAGAGATAGAGGCTGTTTCCGGGAGACCTTCGGCTCAGAGATAATAGATCCGTAACCACAACAGAAACCAGACAAATAGTATCAGCATCGTAAAATAAAATAAATAATTAAATGGAAAGGCCAAAATGTGAAAGACATCAACAACAAAAAAACAAAAAATAAAAATTTTTAAAACACAACAAAAATCGCTAACAGTCCTAGAGAAAACACTATCAGACTAGCCGGTGCAGCGAGGAGAAACGCTCGACTACCCTCTAACCTACAACCCTAATGCTCGACCTCCACACCTTCCTATATATCAAAGGACATGTCCTCGGAAATTGAAGATGCGCAGCTGCCTGATCACCTCGCCCCAGTACTTCTTAGGCCGCCCTCTACCTCTTCTCGTAACTGCCAGAACCAAACGCTCATACCTCCTAACTGGAGCATCTGGACTCCTCCTTCGCACGTGCCCGAACCACCTAAGCCTCGCTTCACTCATCCACGGGAGCCACGTGCACCCTCTCCCGAATAACCTCATTCCTAATCTTATCCGTCCGAGTGTCCCTGCACATCCATCTCAACATCCTCCTTTCTGCTACTTCCATCTTCTGGATATGTGAAATCTTGACTGGCCAACACTCATCCCCATACAACATGGCCGGTCTAACCACCGCTCTGTAGAACTTACCTTTAAGTTTCGGTGGTACATTCTTGTCACATAGGACTCTAGACGCTAACCTCCATTTCACTCACCCCACCGCGATACGGCGCGTGACATCCCCGTCGATCTCCTCATCTCCCTAGATAATAGATCCTAGGTACTTGAAACTCTCTCTCTTAGGGATGACTTGTGAGTCAAGCCTCACTTCCACATCCACTTCCCCCGAAACGTCGCTAATTTACACTCCAAATATTTCGTCTTGGTCCTACTCAACTTGAAACCTTTAGACTCCAGGGCCTGCCTCCATTCCTCCAGTCTCTCGTTAACGCCACCTCGCATCTCATCAATCAAACTATATCATTAGCGAACATCAACAACAAGGCACCTCCCCTTGAATATGGTGTGTCAATGCATCCATCGCCAGGGCTAATAAGAACGGGCTGAGCGCAGATCCTTGGTGTAACCCCATAACCACCCAAAAAGGCTCTAAGTCACCTCCCACTGTCCTAACTCGAGTCATAGCTCCATCATACATATCGTTTATCGCCCTAATATAAGCTACCTGTACACCTTTCACCTCCAGGCATCTCCAAAGAACGTCCCTAGGGACCTTGTCATACGCCTTCTCTAGGTCAATAAACACCATGTGCAAATTCCTCTTCCTATCTCTGTATTACCGACCTCCTAATAAGATGGATAGCTTCCGTAGTAGAATGACCATGCATAAACCTGAACTGGTTCTCTGATATAGACACTGCCTCCTTACCCTCCCTTCCACCACCCTCTCCCAAACTTTCATGGTATGGCTCAATAACTTGATACCCCTATAGTTGTTACTATTCTGGACATCACCTTTGTTCTTGTACCACGGAATCATCGTACTCCACCTCCACTCATCTGGCATCCTCTTCGTCCTGAAAATAACATTAAACAGCCCAGTCAGCCACTCCAAGCCTGCTCTACCCACATACCTCCAAAATTCTTCTGGGATCTCGTCTGGTCCGCTCGCTTTGCCCCGACTCATCTTACACATCGCTCCCACTACCTCCTCAACCCTAATACGCCTACAGTACCTAAAGTCTCGGTGGCTCTCAGAGTGCCCCAGTCCCCCTAACACGACGTTTCTGTCCCCCTCTTCGTTCAGCAATTTATGAAAGTACGACTGGCATCTTTGCTTAATTTGGGTCTTTTCCATCAATACACGACCTTCCTCGTCTTTGATGCACCTAACTTGATCCACGTCACGAGCCTTCCTCTCTCTCGCTCTCGCCAGCCGAAAAAACTTCTTGCCCCCACCTTTGGCCCCAGTTCCTCATACAGCCGACCAAACACAACAATCTTAGCCTCCGTGACCGCTAATTTTGCCTCCCTCCTAGCTTCCTTAAATCATTCTCTGTTCGCTCTCCTCTGCTCCTTGTCGGTGCTCTCCACTAACTTAAGGTATGCTGCTTTCGTTGCTTCTACTTTAGGACCACGTCATTCCACCACCAGTCGCCTCCGTGCCTGCCAGAGTAGCCCTTCGAGATCCCTAACACCTCCCTCGCCGCCTCCCTTATACATTCCGCCGTTGCCGTCCACATAACGTTAGCATCCTCACCACTCTTTGAGGCCCCCATAGCCGGAATATTTTAGGGATAAAATAGTAAAAATCTTGGTCAAATTTAAGTGCTTATAAGCTAAAACTTCATAAGTTGGGGGTGACCAGCTTATGGCTTTTGGCTTATTTTTGACTTATAAACACTTTTAACGTTACTAAACTTGTAAATAAGTCGAAATATACTTACAAGCTGATTTGACCAACGTATAAGCTTAGCTAAACACCTTCTAAGAAACTAATCTTATTCTACTTTTTCCTTCATATTCCTTCCTCCTGGTACTTTTTCTTTCCTTATGTATTTTATACCATGCATATAATTTATACTTGGATAGGAAGAGTGAATAACCAAAACATATTAACGACGGATTTTTAATGAACAGGCGATTCCGAGGGAGGCAAGCAAAGTATTATATGGTACTAGTATGGTGTGCCATTCTTTGGCAACTCGCACTATTGGGATTAGTTGGAGTAATTGTTTAACCCAAAAAATAGTTTTCAAGGTCAAAGCAATAATTTTATATGACGGGCCACAAGCAACCGATTCAATCCGAAAGATATAAAATTTCGTTAATACAACGTGATAAAGAAGTGGGAAATAAATTCAATGACAGATAATATAATAAAAATAAAGCAGAGAAGAAAGAATTCTTATTGAATGATCCTTGATAGGATAATGAGCCGAACAGAGCTTGAAGAGCCGAACTATGGCTAACTTGAGAGCAATATGCTATCACTTACAATGTGTAGAATTGTAGAGAAGAAAATTAGATTCCCCTCATGGTGGTAAAAATATGTCTATTTATAGGACTAAATCTAAGTAATCATTCTCCTTGAATTATGTGTCCATTACTCAATTCATCCATTACTTTTGGAAGACTTGTAACAGCTGTGTAAATGCTAGAATTTCGTAACTGATGAGTTAATTTCGTAACTGATGAGTTAATTTCGTAACTGATGAGTTAATTCCGTAACTAATGAGTTAATTTCGTGACTGATGAGTTAATTCCGTAACTGATGAGTCAATCCCGTGCCTGATGAGTCAATCCCGTGCCTGTTGAGTCAATCCCGTGCCTGTTGAGTCAATCCCGTGCCTGTTGAGTCAATCCCGTGCCTGTTGAGTCAATCTCGAGCCTGTTGAGTCAATCCCGTGCCTGTTGAGTCAATCTTGTAATTGATTGCCTTGTTCTGACCGTTACAATCATTTATTGCATTTATTAATAATTGATTTGTAACTGATGGTGTAATGATGGTAAATCCCATATAATCCGGGATTAATTGATTCCTTCCTCATTGGTAATTATGAGATATTCTCCCGCACCTGATCGGGGCTATTTCATGATGATCAGTTCCGAGGCTAACAGGCACGGTATGTTCGGTCCCGGGGGTATTTCACATATCGTCTTTACATGTCATTCTTCACTTTTCTTCAAACTTTGCTGACACGTGTCGCCATTTAATAGACCCACATGGCGAGTCTAATTTTCACCAATACAGATAGTCCCCCCACTTTCCGGTTACTCACTATGATGTGACCGGAAAGTGGAAGATTTTATCCTTTTCATCCTTGCCTCTGCCTCATTAAAAACCTTACCAGTAAAACCCAATAGGGACAAAAACCGGACGAAGGAAAAAAGAGTGCAGAACTTAGATATTCATATGATAACTCCGTCGCTTATGTTCCTTTCATCAATAATCGGTTGGTTTACCCCTGTCTTGTTTCAGGGTTTGAAGACAAATCTTTGCCTTATGTTTGCAAAGTTTGATACATATATATATATATATATATTTTCTACCTATTTAATGTTTGGTTTTTGTTTACCTTTCAACTTTGTCATTAAAAATACTTTAAATGTCTCCGTGTACTTTTGTAAGTAAGCACGAATTATAAAAAGAGGGTNGAAGTCTCTAGCTTGATTTGTCTTGTTTTGCCGAAAGTTAGCAATTTGTGGTTTAGAAGTTTTTCCAAGTTTGACCATAGATTTACTTTTTGGCTATCGGGTTTGGAATTTAGTTTTGGTACATGGAATAGGCCTGTTTTGCTATTTCGAACGTGTTTGTAAAATTTGGTTTCATTTGGAGTTGGTTTGATAGGATTCGGATGCTTGGATGCAATTTTAGAGATTCTTGAGTTTTCATTTGAAATTCATGTGTTTTGATATCTGATTCGTAGTTCTAGATGTTATTTTTTGTTTTGATCTTGCAAGAAAGTTTGTATGATATTTTTAGACTTTTATGGATATTTGGTTTGGAGCCCCAAGGGCTCGGGCGAGTTTCGGACATGTTTCAGAATGGCTTTGAACTGAAACAGGTTGTTGGTGTGGTGGTGTCTCTGATGTCGCAATTGTGAATACCAGCATCGCAATTGCAATCTTAGCAGGGGGTCTCAGGAGTCACATTTTCCATGCCTGGATCACAATTGCGAAGTAGTACCTAGGCCTCATAGGTTTCCATTTGCGACACAATTAGTCGCATTTGCGAGGGATGCAGGATTCGCAATTGCGAAGCCCATGTCGCATATGCGACTTCCCAGCCTGATTTTGCTAAGGGTGGAGGTACGCCCTCGTTTATCCATTATATTTGTGAGAGTGGCCCTAGTTAGCCTGTTAGTTGTCGGTATGACCATGAGATTGATGGGGCACAGGATGCCAATTGTTAGATTTCAGATGCTGGGCCTTCGCGAGTTGTGGTTTGTCCGAGACTTGGTGAAATTGTGGAAAGAGTTGGATAAGACCTTTGTGAACATCATTGTAGGATATGAGTTATTGACTTGTTTTCCCATTCTGTGTTGTGACCTTAGGATTTGGATTGTGATTCTGCGGTCATTTCCTATCCTCATTTATTATATTCTCGTTGTTACTTGTTGTATTTTTCCCTTATTGTGAATTGTAGCATTCTTGGTCATCCATGCAGTCTTTACATATTTATATGTCATTTTCATTATTCTTATGATTATACTGTTTATTGACCGGTAGGTGCCTTGACTGTTCCTCATCACTACTCCACCGAGGTTAGTCTTGATATTTACTAGGCACCGCCGTGGTGTGCTCATGCTACTCTTCTGCACATTTTTGTTGTGCAGATACAGGTACTCCCACTCAGTTCTGTTAGCCTTGGAAGGAGGCGTATCGGTAGAGACTTCGAGGTATATCTGCTACGTCCGCAGACCGAGGAGTCCTTTCCAGCTTTCTGTAATAAGTATAGCTATTTCAGTATTTCTCCTTTGTATAGATATTCTTGAGTCAGAGCCTCTTATGTATCCCTTAGCTTGTGATTTGTGAGTTTCCGGGTTTTGGGAATTGTTTTAGACTTGTGATGTTGAGTTGTACTTGTCATGCGGCATTCAGTACAGTTTCATTTAGATATTTGATTTGATTTTCTCTATTTTTCCGCAATTTTTATATTTCCGCAAATGTTAGGCTTACTTGGTCATGCGGACCAGGTGCCGTCATGACATGTTCACGGTTGGTGAACTAGGGTCGTGACAAGTTGGTATCAGAGCTCTAGGTTCATAGGAGTCACAGATCACAAGCCGGTTTATTAGAGTCTCGTGGATCGGTACGGAGACGTCTGTACTTATCTGCGATAGGCTATGTAACCGTTAGGAAAATTCCACTTCATTTGATTTCCCTGTCGTGCGAGATTTTGACATCTACAATCCTAAACCTCTGTCTTCTACTCTCTCACAGATGGTGAGGACACGTACTACCCGAGGTGATCAGGCACCCGCGCCCCCTGCTGCAGCCGTTAGAGGTCGGGACCGGGGTAGTACGGGATGAGACACACTCAGAGTTATCGAGAGCATGCTTATCTTTGGGTAAAGTCACATTCTGCAAGTAATAAATGAATTTATTATGCCAATTCCAAATTAAATAAGTCAGGCTTACCTCATTTTTATTCTAATTGATGATAGATCAGGGATCACTTAAATAAGAGATGGCTCAATCCCGAGACTGTTTGATTCGGAAATAATATTTCTCAATAAGAGCCCGGAGTTGCCTTCGGAGTTAGTGATATCAGCAGTATATCCGAGACTAGCACATCCGGCTCAATTTTCTTGGGCTGCATAGTTTTCTTGGATTTGATCAATCGTTAAATCAATACTTTTGCTCTGAGTCCCCAAGCTAATTTAAGCCCTGTAGCATATGATTCATACTCGGCTTTGTTGTTAGTAATAAAATAATTTTTATGAATTATCTAACTATTTTTTCTGATAGGCATTAAGCATTGTCCCTAACTCGGGAAGTTTAGTACTTGTGGACCTATTTGTGTAGAAGGTCCAGATCCCGAGAATTATCCCAGAAATAATATGTTCGGGTAATATGTTCGAGCTAAGATTAATCATGAAATCTGTTAAATTTGTGATTTTATAGCCGTACGGACTGATACACAATATCATATTCACTTAGTTTGACTACTTATTTAGCTAGCCTTCCTGACAGTTGATGTTTATGCAAAATATTGCGCAATAAAAATATAGTGACTACGGGAATTGAATGACATTGAAAATAAAACCTTAGATTTAGGGCAACTACAATTAATGCCAACTTATCAAAATGTAGATATGTAGTTTTCGTATCTAAGAGCATTTTATAATAGATAGGAGAATGTGTACCTTTATCTTCTTGAATTAAAATTGCATTTACCGAGACATCCGAGACAATTTGGTGTAGCTGCAATCATCTTTCTCCTCGGAATTTTGAAAGTAATGATGTGTTGTTGTTAGATAGCAAGTTCGAGTGATTCGACTTTTCGGACTAAACCGATCTTTCGAATTTCTATAACTTTATCTTTTATCATTTGACTCTAGTTTCTTTTTTTGCTTGACCGGATTATACCGCGGGTCAATATTGAGCATATAAACCTTTTCCTCCGGTGGTATACCTATTATGTTAGCATGGAGGCAAGAAAAGCAATTTTTGCTAGCATGCAAAAGTTTAATCAACTTACATTAAAATTCGGTATCGAGTCTCGACCAACGCAAACCTTCCTATTTGGGAAGTCAATGATAATTTCTAGTTCTTCAGCATTTGACCTCGTGGCTTCTAATGCCTTTGTTTCAATGATTGCTTTCGAAAATATTTGTATAATTGTCCAAGGTTATTAATGAACCTTCCTTCCTCGTGGTTTATTCCATCCCGCAGCTATCTCTTCTTTTTCAGTTGTTAGGTGTGATATCTTTGTAAGCAATCTCGTGGGTGTTTTACCTATATGCTCTTCCTAATCTTCATTCTTCTCCTGTTTTTTAGATTTTTGCAATTTAACAAGGTAATTCCTTACCTGTTTGGGTAGATTCGGATCTTTTCCAGCCCGTGAATAAAATCTTATATTTCTTCGCTCGGACCTGTTTTTGACTTTCAATTGAAAGTACGTGTCTTCCTCTATTTGGAGCTTTGTATCATATCGAATGTAAATTTTACTCCTCGGTTCCGGGAAGGTCCGGCGTTATTCTTATGACTCCTTCAATCGGATCCGGAATCACCTCGGTTTGGTTTTCGAACCTGTTTTTGGACATCTTATTAGTGTCGATTTGACTTACCGTGTCTTCTTCCGTTTAAATTCCGGTGCTGCAACGGTTATGCATATCATTCTCGCAGGATAGATAGGAATTCCCGGAGGTGTTCTATCCGCTCGTTCTGTTCCTTGATCTGTTCCTGTAAGGTTAGAACTAAATTTTGCAAATTAAAATTACCTGGTGTATCTGAACCTCCTGTTCCGGAACTGTTTAGTACAGATCCGTTATAATCAGTTTCTGGTACTGATATACATTCTCTATTTTTCTCTTGCTTGTTGCTTACATATCATCATCATGGCTATTATTTCCCTTTTTATTT